TAGCAGAATCTAGAAGAATCAGAAACACCTCAAGGCATGTCTCATGTTTGAAACTACTTATTTCTAAGAAAACAAATGATGGTTTCTGGGTTCTTCAGCACAGCTTCCTCCAGATTCCCTGTGGAGTGGGTTTACCCTACACTGTTTACCCCAGTGAGAAGAATAATAGGGTTTTACCACCAATGTGGTGGCTTTTCCTCATGAAAACACTAAGCTGGGAGGGGTGGCCGACACGCCAGAAGGCTGTGCTGCCATCCAGAGGGACCTGGACAGGCTGGAGAGCTGGGCGGGGAATAACTTGATGAAATTTAACAAGGGAAAGTGTAGAGTCCTGCATCTGGGCAGGAACAACCCCAGGTTCCAGTATAGGCTGGGGAACGACCTGTTAGAGAGCAGTGTAGGGGAGAGGGACCTGGGGGTCCTGGTGGACGACAGGGTGACCATGAGCCGACACTGTGCCCTTGTGGCCAAGAAGGCCAATGGCATCCTGGGGTGTATTAGAAGGGGGGTGGTTAGTAGGTTGAGAGAGGTCCTCCTTCCCCTCTACTCTGCCCTGGTGAGACCTCATCTGGAATACTGTGTCCAGTTCTGGGCCCCTCAGTTTAAGAAGGACAGGGACCTACTGGAGAGAGTCCAGCGCAGGGCAACTAAGATGATTAAGGGAGTGGAGCATCTCCCTTATGAGGAAAGACTGAGGGAGCTGGGTCTCTATAGTTTGGAGAAGAGGAGATTGAGGGGTGACCTTATTAGTGTATATAAATATCTAAAGGGGGAGTGTCACGAGGATGGAGCCAGGCTCTTCTCAGTGGCAAACAATGAAAGGACAAGGCATAATGGGTACAAATTGGAGCACAAGAGGTTCCACTTAAACCTGAGAAGAAACGTCTTCTCAGTGAGGGTGACGGAACACTGGAACAGGCTGCCCAGGGAGGTTGTGGAATCTCCTTCTTTGGAGACATTCAAAACCCGCCTGGACACGTTCCTGTGTAACCTTATCTAGGTGTTCCTGCTCCGGCAGGGGGATTGGACTAGATGATCTTTTGAGGTCCCTTCCAATCTCTAACATACTGTGATACTGTGAAACCTTACAGACAATTGCATCCCCAGACAAATATGACCAAAACTGTCTTCAAAAGTTACTGTAGTAACTTTTAAAAGTTACTACAGATGAAAGGGAGAAAGGCAATGTGATCCCATACACCTGGTTTTCTCAGAAATCCAGGCAAAAAATTCAGCAGCTAATATATGAACAGAAAGAAATTGCTCATTCTCAGCATAGTACCATTAGGCATAAAATGGCACACCACAACTTACTGCATTCTTTTAGTACAATCCTGTGTATTTCTGAAGCTACCCTAAGGCAGTTTCCCCAAAGGAACATCTAAATGTGACACAAGAATGCAGATATGGTGTAGAACCTAGAGCTTTTAACTGCTAGTTCAATTTGAGGTCATTGGCACTTTTATTCTCCTGTAAATGCAAAGATAGGAAAAAAAGCTACTGTGCTGCCTTCTGTTAGAAACGTCTTTCAGAGTTTCTTTTTTTGGTCTGGAAAAGAAAATAGAAAACTATAGAAAATTTTACAAAGTTTAAGCTTCTGTAAGATATCTGCACACATTTACTTATGCACAAAGAAAGTACTATTGAAAAAAAAAATGGCTAAGGGGAGGAAGGAGTACATTATAACCAACACGAAAAATAAGCTGTGGTAACACAGTTGTTTCCTACCACAGTTTCCCCACATTTCAAAATTTTGTTCCAAGCTAAGACAATTGGCTCAATTATCTATATTTTTCACATAGAAGTTATGAATGTTTTAAACACAAATATTGAAACAGTTAATTTGGAACGTCTGAAATACTGTAACAGTTAATTTTTTTAATTCTGAAACTCAGTCAAGTGTTTCAACACTTCTAAGTCAAAATGCTATATTTTGGTAGCATACTCTGAAAGAAGACATTTAAAATGAGTTAAAGCTGGTATTTTTGCCTACTTGAACTCCCTCAATAGACTACAAAAGGACTGCAAATTAGCTTTTGGAGCAACTCTGCAACCTTCACACAAGAAATTACACATAAAAAAAAAGGGAGGCAAGTATCACTGGTAGAATAAATGTCAGCAGGAGTAATTTGCAAAATATTTATATGTATATATATGTACACGTGTGTACACTATATAATAACATACTATTATGTCATAGAGCTTAACTATTCAAACAGCCAATCAAGAATAATTCAGTAAAAGCCAGAATTAAATGCATGATCTTGGCACTTCCATTTGGAACGACATAACCCTTTCTGTGCAAAGACGGACACTATGCAGTGAAATATAAACTACAAAAGACATTCAACAATTCCAAGAAAATCGGCAAAGCAACATTAATTGTATGCTGCCTACATCAGAATCAATAACTCTTATGAAAAAAGTTATGCTATATTTTTTGAAACTTCAGAGGATGGTGCCTAGTCCTGTCAGTGTTTAATAAAAACCCCTTCCATAAAATTCAAGAGATGTCTTTTAAAATTCTTTAATAATCCAGTTAAAAATTTTGCCCCATTGCCTCCATTATAGATGCTCCAGACACTGCAGCTTTCATTGGCTTAATTAAGAAACCACTTCTCTTGCTTAAATTTTATTCTTTCTACTTTACACTCTGATGCATGCATGACCATATCCTCTTATCCTCTGTTTTGCTGTACTAAATGGGTTATGCCCTTTTTAATATCGTCTCAAAAACAAGCCCTCCATTCTCTTTATCTTTCTTATACTTCTTCTCCCAATTCAGTTAAACTTTCTTTCTTAAATACAGACATCTAGATCAGAATAGCTGAGGTCTCATTAGGGTTTAATAATATTAAAACTTTCCTGAAAATACAATCCTAAGAGAGGGCAAACAAAGTGTTGTCTTTTGTCACAGCCACATCATGCTGATGGCTTATTGCCAAAACCAGACCAGGCAATATTAATTTTATTCCAGCATAAGTAATCCATGAGGTTCCTCGATTGTGTAGATGACAACTTCCTCTTGCAAGTGACAGAGGAGCTGAAAAGGAGAGGTGCTATGCTTAACCTCGTGCTCACCAAAAGGAGGAGGTGGTGGGGAATGTGATGCTCCAGGGAAGCCCTGGCTTTAGCAATCATGAGATGGTCAAGTTCGAGATCCTCAGGGCAGCAGAAGGGCACACAGCAAGCTCACTGCCCTGGACTTCACGACAGCAGACTTCGGCCTCTTCAGGAAATCTGCTTAGTAAGGTTCCATGGGATGAAGCCCTAGAGGGCCAGAGGCCAAAGAATGCTGATTCAAGTATCACCTGCTACAAGCTCAGGAGTGTTGCGTCACAACTAGAAGGAAGTGCAGCAGGAGGGCCAGGAGACCTCCTTGGATGGATAAGGAGCTGCTGAGGAAACTTAGAAGGAAAAAAGAAACTTATAGAAGGTGAAACTGAGGAGAGGCAGCGTGGGAGGAATACAGGGACATTGTCCAGGAAGCTAGGGATCAGGTCAGGAAAGCCAAGGCCCAGTTAGAACTGAGTCTGGCCAGGGGTTTCAGAGATAACAGGAAAGGCTTCTATAGGTATGTCGCTAACAAGACAGACTAGGGACAACATGGGAGAGGATCTGGTTTAAGACTATCTTAAGAACCTGAATGTGCACAAGTCCATGGGACCTGATGGAATCCATCTGCAGGTCCTGAAGGAACTGGCAAATGAAGTTGCTAAGCCACTGTTCATCATATTTGAAAGATCATGGCAGTGAGGTGAAGTTCCCAACGACTGAAAAAGGGAACTATAACCCCCATTTTCAAGAAGGGGAATATGGATGACCCAAGGAACTACAGACCAGTCAGTCTCATCTCTGTGCCTGGCAAAATCTTGGAGCAGATTCTCCCAGAATGCATGTTAAGGCACATGAAAAACAATAATGTAGTTGCTGACAACCAACATGGCTTCAATAAGGACAATTAGATGATCTTAAGGTCCTTTCCAACCCTAACCATTCTACAATTCTATGATTATTAGTTGTTCCATCTCTTTATTTGAATAGACGGCGATGAAGTATATTGTCACACACCCTGTTGAACTGGTTTAGAATGTATTATCACTTCCCTTCAAAGCAATTGTTCTCAGTCAAATTACCAGATTTAACTTTAGAAAGAAGCTCTTGGTGAATTCCATCTACAGATCTTTACTGAACCACTGTTCCTGTTTTGTAATACATCTGTCCAACGCATAAGAATGTACTGCAGGAAACAGCTCTCCCTTTTTCCTTGGTGGGAGCTGCAAGAATTCCACAGTGGCTACAATGATGTGATGCTCCTTCAGCAAGCCCGTTACATCTTATACTTGCTGCAGCTTATCTCTATAAACACATACCTGAACAACTACTCCTCTGTAATCTTGTGTTTGGGTTTTTTACTTAATATGAATTTCATACAGCTAAGCTCACAACTGCTAAAATACAAAACTGTGGGAAGAGCCATCACCTACCTCATCATTTCAAAGTCATGATTTCTTCATCATCCACAGCATTTAAATCTGCATAAAGTAATTTCTCTTATAACTCATTTCCTAATTCATGATCTTAAAACCAAGAAAAGTGGACTAGAATCACTGCTTTTGGCTGTTAAAATCAACAGAATTACTGCCTACGTTTCCCAAGAAGCATACTCTACAGAAAAAAAGAAATCCCAAATTCCAGTGCAGAGCCTAGAGCTACTTTGTGCCACCGCTCAGTCATGCCTATAGATCTTTTCTATCTTCAGTGCCCAGGGGAAGCAGAATATATCAATTCACCTGAAGCTAAATACATGAACTGAGGAGAAAATTAATTTAATAATGCCACTTTAGGAAGCTCTGTGGATTATGGCTACAGTATAAATCCTCAGAGATACGTAACTTTGCATTAGAACTTCACTGCTAATTGGAAAAAAAAGTTTAAAAAGAAAATCGATCAATTTAGCATTACTTACGAGCAAATGTAGTCAGAGTTGATATACATACCCTTTGCTTCTCAGGGTCAACATATCGAATGCCAAAATAGTCTTTTTCCAGCAAGCTGTAATAGTTGCAGATGTGATCTATGAGAAACTGACCTTTAGTTTCCCTCTGTAAAAAAAAAAATAAATATATATATATATATATATTATTCTGAGTACTCTGACCTTGCTGCCTATAAATATTTAAAAAAATGTAATTGAAGTATCAAGGAAAATGGCACATGAAATTTGTTGCTACTCAGATGAGGACAAGGTTTTGAGAATTTATCTCCTCTAAAAGATGCAGGAGATTAGTGATCAATATACACCCTGCACATTCACAAATTGATTTGTTAAGAAAAATACCATCACTACTCCTGCCTCAGGAAAACTCATGCTACTTTAATAGCTACACATTCATAACATCCAATATATTACTAACAACCATACTTCCACCTAACGTTATAATGGCATAACAGATACCCACTTACATACGGAATTTCAAAGCTGTATGTGTGGTTTTTTTTATCCCCCAAGTTTGCAAGCAGCTTTGGCAGTGAGTATCTTACCAGATCTTTATGCACTGCCCACAGAAAAAGAGAGCTGATCCTTAATTCCCAGACAGCACTACATTACAAGAAAGAGATGCTCAAATGGCTAAAAGAGATCTTTTAATTCCATTGGGTAGCTACAGCCTTATGGAAAATTACTGTACACATGATGGTCTGTTAACAATCTCACTCCTTATTTCTGCTTTCTTGAATCCCAATACCATGTTTCATTTCTCCTTAGTCTACTGCCTGATGTGGAGAACCCACAGTTTTCTAAATTGAGATGTGCATGAGTATTAACACTGGGCCAAGGCCATTCACCTAAAACAGTCCACTTTAAGCAGCCAAAGGTACTTCACTACTTTGCAGTGTCAAGTTTCTGCATTTCTTTTCCTTTGTCTACCCAGGTCCTGCACTGAGACACCTCTGCTGTGGACCACGTAGTGAGTTTGCTAGGCTCTACCCTTTGCTGACATAAAACAACTTGAACTTTGCTCTTTTATCACTACAAAATAGAAACTACACAGAATATGCAATCACATTATATAAAAAAAAAATTACTTAATTATTCCTCAAAATGACTCCCTGAAAACTTTGATGCTATGACTTAATTAACCTTTCTTTCAGAATCTAACAGGCAATTTTAACCATAAACAGAACAGCTGGGCAAAAATGAACAGGTATCTCCTGCATTTCTCCAGGTAGTATACAAAATTGGACACTGTTACCATCTTCATTTCACTTAGGAGCAGCTGAGGCAAAAACAGTGCTGTGATCCATCCAAGGTCATTCTTTAAAGGACAGAGGAAGCAAGAGGGTCTCAAGAACAGCACTGTCCACTGAGACCTGCTGCTTAATACATTAAAAATGAGACATACTTCAAGACTAGAGTGTTAGAAAAGAATACAATCTGTGAACTACTGCTCTATTTTCTTATCTTTACAATTACTAAGGAATTCTGACATGGATAGTGTTACTCATTTGTTCAATCCCATTACTCAAGGAAAGACTAACTAAATAAAAAGCACCTTCAGTTATGGCACTGACAGAAAGCTGCATGGCGCTTCCGGTACACTGGGGCTCCTGCAACCATCCCAGTCCCTACCACATGGACGTTCTCTCCTGAATTCAATTCCAGCCTCGAGGGAGTTGCTAATTTCTCTACGGATTTCTTTTTCCTAGACAAGAGCGACTCTGCTTCTCTTCCTGCTGTGTAAGCCACCTACTTCCATCACTCCTTTCTTCTTCCACCTTCTGCCTCTTATGTATTTAGCCTTCACTGTGTGTCCTTTACTCTCCCATATGCTGCTATTTTCCTGGAGGGTATCACTGCCTTGTCTACACCACAGTATTTCTGTACTTTTGTTTTCCTATTTTTAAACAGCCAGTATCAAAGGATGTTAACCCGATTTGTCTGTTTTCTATACATGCTCACTCAACCTTATGCTTTGCGCCCCCTGCATTGCTACCTTTTTCCACGTGATATAGCTGCAACAGTTTTGTCTGCAATTGTTTTTTTCCAGCTTCAGAACATTTACAAAACAACTTCTTTGTTGTTAAGAGTGATTAACACAAACACTGACATTTTTTATACTGCACCCAGTACAAGTATGGGCTTGTGACAGCATAGAGAGAACTTTCCCCAGAAGGCAGAGCTGATATCAAAGAAAATTAAGGAAAGAAAACCACCACTCACCATGCGACTGACATAAAAAAAGTCTACAATTACATATACACATCTCAATAATGTTTTTTCTAGCTTAAAATCTTAGAAGTGTCTACAAACTTTTGTGACTATGAGATAAGCAAGGCCATCAAAATATGAAGATAAAATTACACAGTGACGTTTCAGTACAAAGGCAGTTGGAATAAAATTGAACTCAGATGTGATATTCAAGCTGCACGCAGTTTTAAGATGAATTTACAATAAACTAAACAGAACTGGGGAACAACAGCTATTAAGTGACTCGGGTACAGTCAGCCATGAACACAGGCATTACTGACAACAGTGTACAAAAGAAATTCAATTTTTAAAACACTGGATATGAGGAAACCAGACTAGTTGTATTTTCACCTGACAATATTGGAGGGTGCTCCTGGAAAAACAGCCAGTTCATGAACTAACTGCTATAGGTTCACATTCTAAACAGTTCATTTAAAAAGCCCTTTGCTTCACCCACCTAAATCATCACAAAAGTTTTTTTGAGTTCTTGAGGAATCCGATAAAAGGCTAGGGCATGTACAGTGTTTTTCAATCAAGTAACAACACTCCCTTTCTAAATTTACTTGATGTCCTGGTTTTCTTGCTTGAAAGATTATAGAAATGAACCGAACAGAAAAAGAAGCAAATGAACAAAAGCCTCTGAGCTAAATTCATGCTCTAGGAAACCTTAAGCCCTCCACAGATACATAAAAGAGACTAGTTTAATAACCTCACCCTTGGTTAGTATACACTTCAGTTAATAGTGCCACTTAGTCAGGCTTCACGTTTCGCATGATTCATTACCAGATACTTAAAAAGATTCAAGATGTTCAAAAGTGGCTAAATAGGCACATACATAATGTAAGGAGTGTTTTGGTAAGAAATTCTGTTGTAAATGTTGCATTATTATGCTTTTTAAATAACTGAAATATGAAAAAAATTCAGATCCTAACTGATACACAGAGAAAAAATACGTGATATGGCATAGAACAGCTCAAGTATGAATTCATAACAGATAGTGTGGCAAAAAGGATAGACAGTGTTGTTAATTTTGTTTTCTGTAAACAGTATCCATAACTATATTCTGCATTTCTCTAACAATGCTCTGAATTCTCCTGAGCTTTAGAATCTGATGATCTTTCTTGTCTCCTCTGTTCTTTGATACACTTATTACATATTATAATACAAAAGAATGTATCAAATCTATAGCCTAGTCGCATTTCTGAAAGAATATGGATAAATTAAATTTGGGACTGCCAGTCAGCCACAACAGAGCAAGGGAATGGATTTAGGTCACAGAATAATGAATATAAAACATTGCCTGAAATTCCAGACAGTTGTCATGTAATAAGTGATCCTTCAAGGGGAAAAAAAACAAATCCAAAACAAACAAAACCCAAACAACAAACAAAACAACCAAAATAACCAAACCCCAAGTCCTGCTATACCAATGAAGTATTCTGCAGCAATTCAGACTGATAAGTTTCTGTTATATTTCAGCATGTTTGCAGAACATGAGAAAATGACATCATAAAAAGCAACACTACTGAAAAAATCATCAACAGATCACAGGAATCTGAGAGCAAAAATCAAGTCAGATTTTTTAAATCTTCATAGCTGAAATCTTCGATAATTATACCACAGTTCACGCAATAGTCATCAAATATTCTCAAGTGAAAAAGACCAATCCGGGCAGAAAGAAGAGTCACTAAAGTGACACAACCAAATGTCCAAGATCGTAGTCAATACAATGTTTTAGAACAAAGAATACCCAACTCAACTAGCCAAATTTTTGTAACCCATATTCTATGAAAAGTGTTTTTTAGAAGGTCCTTAAACAAAATCCTGTAATTCCACTCACTCATATAAAAATGACTTTTGGAGATTCCCATAAATAATTTGAGAAACAACTCTCTGATTTGCTCATATGAATTTGCACAGACAAGATGGGTATGTATTTCCTGAGACTGCATTTGAATATCTGACCTTAATACCACTATAATCCCACAACAAACCCCAACACACATTCAAGGGATATAACGCCATGAGAATGACAGAATCCCTGAACCCAGAAGGTCAGCTTGCAAACAACTATTAAACTCTGCTTTTTAAGCTGGTTCAAAAGTATTATTTTCTACTTAAAAAAGCATGTATCCAATTCAACTAGCAGCTCTTGCAAAAGAATTAAGCAAAACGAGGAATATTCTCCACTCCAACAAAACATGAAATTGTGATCATACAGGGTCCGTCACTCACAGACTGACAGGACAATCTAAGTTTCTGCCTTAGCTCTAGGAACCAAGTAAGACACTACAGAGATGATTCATTTTCATTACTAGATAATATGATTACAGCTTCCGCTACTGCAACTCTGCAAATTTATGACTGAGTAACCCAATTCCTTGGTAACTGCTCTGTTATGCAGAAAATAATAGAAACAATAATCTCCATGGCTCTTGAGCAGTTTCGGTCTAACACAATATCCTAATTTCCTGCTTGTGTTGGGGATTTCTTTTCTTTTTTTATTCCTAGTTTCTATGTGCAAGCTAAAAAGCAAGGAAGAATGCATCTTGTTCTGCCAATTTTACTGTTCTCAGATGACAAAGAATGACACCATGAAACATTTGTGACTGTTTCACGATTCTGAAAGTGAGAAGAAAGCCATTTATAGCAGTTTAAGAACGTACATTCAGTGAAACATCTTCCTTATTTTCATTTGCTTCACTGTGTTCTATGTGTATTTATCTGAACGTCACAAGATCAAGAGTCAAGCAGATTAAACAGTGCTTCTGCTCTGTTATCTAACCACTGAAGTCCTGCCAGCTGTGCTTATCTCTGTTAGGAAGCCACCGACATTACTAAGAAGCAGTGCAGAGT